CTGGCATTAAAAGTTGTGAGCGAGCCATTGGGCTGCTGCATAAACTAGTCTGCTCTGGAGCCCTCCTTCCTGAGCCGAGACAAAAATCTGTGCGCTGGAGGCTAAAAGACGGTGAGCTAGCTCACACTGACTCAGCTTAGAGGGAATACTGCTGTGGAGTCCACCCTCCAAAGCATCCGCTTTCTCCAGGGGGACTGATCTGTGTAGTTGTGACTCTGGGAGGTCTCCAGGCCTCCCCTGGAGGCTGGCAACCATAGTTCGTCTGGATTCTTTCCTCTTGCTCGGCACAGCCACTGGCTTCTTGCCAAGCTAGCATTTTGGCCGAGGAGACATTTGTGTGTGTTTTTAACTCCATAAGGCGTGCAGAGGACGCGGTGTTCCCTCTGAGCTGAGTTAGCATGTGAGCTAGCTCACAGCTTTTTAGCCTCCGGTTCACACATTTTTGTCTTCGCCCGGGGAAGGAGGGCTCCAGAGCAGAGTGATGTATGCAGGAGACAAATGGCTCGCTCACCACTTTCGCACCAGTCGCTCACAAAACGGAATTTTTGCCCATGAGACTCCGCAGCTTGGAGGGCGCACTGCAGAGGAGTCCCCTGCTGCTTGTCCAGGGCAGCTCTTCCTCCTGTGACCAAAACTGTCCTGGCCAGATGCTAATTCAGGATGAAAGCATCACTGGCTAAGTAGGACAGGGTGGTGAGGGACGACTGCCATCTAGGGTCGCCAGATCCAGGCTGGGAGATTCCTGTTAATCTGGGGATGGACACACACAGACCTCAGTGGGATACAAGGCCATAGAGTCCAGCCTCCAAAGCATTCATTTCCCCAACTTTCTCCGTAGCCTGGAGATGAGCTGTAATTCTGGGGGGGTCCCCAGGTCCCACCTGGCATCCCTACTGCCATCAACTCATTGGTGACCCCATGGGGTTTTTAAGGCAGGATACATTCAGAGGTGGTTCGCCGTTCCCTCTCTCTGCATAGCAACCCTGGACTTCCTTGGTGGTCCAAAAAAAAAAAAACCCCGGTGGGGGTTAGCCCGCGACCGGAATGCTCAGCTTGCAAGATTGAAAGCCTAAGAAAAAATCTCTTCGACTCCGAAAAGCCTGTAATGGGCCGTTCTGGCCAGGTGGTGGCAGTGTGGCGCTGCAAGACCTGGAGAAGCTGACATCATCTAGCCAAGCCGAAGTAAATATGCCGACGGAACACGTCTGACCCTGCAGCTGAAGAAACCCTCGCCGACTGTGAGTGTGTGTGATTAAAAAAGATATATGTTGTCCTCCCTTACCCCCATAAATCATTGTTAGTCCCGCGTGAATGAGTAACTGTAGATCGCTCAGAGCCAGCAAGCTCTGCAGGATTGAGCGATTAATAAATTGAGGGATTATTATTATTTTTATTTTGGTCTCCCATCCAAGTAATGACAAGGGCTGGCCTTGCTTAGCTTCCAGGATCTGATGAGATCAGGTGAGCCAGGGCCAGACCAGGTGATCTTTAGGATTGGGGGGGGGGCAATGAGTTGCCAATTCTCAGCTTGTTGTTGTACTTATCTCCACTTTGGGGGGGGGGGGGAATTTGGGTAGCTCTGTTATTGCGCTAAAGGGGCTGTTTCCTTGAATGCACGCGCCTTTTGCACTGCCGCCCGACCAATTGCATGTTAACATGTCTGCGTCTCGAGAGCTGGACTATGGCTAAAACGATCAGTTTTCCTACTTTCAGAATACAGTGGCATTGGACTTCATGAGCCCAATCACAGCAGTCTCCAAGTTGATCACCCCGTTTTCAGACGATCAATCTGTGATAGTCCAGTCTCTCCTTTGTCTTTCATCAAAGGCAACCA